TTATATTTTGTCATTTCATTTTACACATTTTGTGGAAGACACTGGTATGCATTAATGCTCAGCTTTGCTAGTAGAAACAAAAGTAAACATTCTTTGATAAATAGTAGTGATGGCAGTGCTAGCTCACTTCAAAGGGATTTAATACACTCATAATATTTGCACTTTCATTTGATGAAATCCTGATTTATTCTCGATAAACCATACATTGTTTTTATGAACAAAGGTATAAATTAACTGTTATTGCTGCATTTTCCCTCTTGTATTAAAGAAAAAAGGACCAAAATTTGGGACTTTCCTTCTAAAGAAAAGCAAGCAGTGAATTGTTTTCAAAGTTAACAGATCGTACCATAAGAAAAAAAAAAAAAAAAAAATAAGAAAGCATATCTTAATTGATAAAATATGGTCAGCTGAATATGTTTTGTCAGCCATATCCAGCTGACCATATTTTATCAATTAAGACATGCTTTCTTATTTTTTTTTTCTTATGGTACTATCCGTTAACTTTGAGAATAATTCACTGCTTGCTGTAATTATTCACAAAACAGTAATAGAGAAGAACCATAACATGGGAGATGTTCTTACTCATAAGTGTTCTAAACAGAGCTGCCAGTAAAATCACAGCCTAGCAAAATCAAAATCTATGAAAATGTTTTACAAAGTGCAAAAAAGAAGTGGGTAGAGTACTGATTGTTTATTTAATAAGAGGTGTCAATACCTTCATAATTTCACAGGAACATTTGGCAGGATCTCTCTTAGCTTTCGTGGTTTGATAGTAGCCATCTTTCATGTTTAATGGGATAATGCATAAGCACCTCGTAAAGTACCATTAATTTTATTTTATGCAGTTTGGGGGTCCAAAAATTATTTTTCTTGCATCAGACATGACATCAAAGCTTTTATTAAAATGTTAAAAAACATCTGTAGGATGTAACCACTTTTTATCCACGCCAAGCAAAGCATAAGAATATGCAGATTTTATTCAGTGCTAATGGCACACCCTGTGTAGTATTTGTATAAAGATATGTTTTTTGTCTTATAAAATTGTGAATAATGATGTATATGAGTATTTTTTCACACATAAAAAAATTTTAGCTTAATTTTTTTATCAAGGTTATGTACCCAGAATTCATCATCTTTAATCCAATGTTGTTATTGGGGACATAGCCTAAATTTTCATATAAAGCATCCCACTTCACATCAAATTTTTTAAAATTATATTAACAGAAGTTGGCTATAGTATTTGCATGTTAATATTGTTAAATACTGCACATTATATGCAATAATGAAATGTACATTTATTTAAAATTTACTAGTTTTTAGTCTGAACAAGACATTTGTTTAATTAAGATTTACAAACACTTTATATTAGTGTCATAATTCAATTTTGCATGGTTTATGTATATAGCATTATTGATAATTAGTTGATCAACCTGTAATTTTTCTTAGTCCTGATAAAAATTAACTGTGGTAGAGTTGATGCTGATGCTGGAAAATTGGTAAATCATTCTTTAAATTTCACTTTTAATGTTGTAAATGCTGCTGTAGTTTTTTATAAGGTATAAATTAATGTACGAGTTTTTTTCTGTCTCAGTAGCAAAATACAGAGCATTCAATTCAAATAACTTGCAGGACTACTGTTGGGTTTAACAAAATTTTAGGAAATTTTTTTCAGCATTTGGAAGACTTGTAAATTCAAACTCATTTTAAGAATCGGGCTTTTTGCATATTTATTTGGGCATATTACACTTTTGCAATACAATTAAATGGTATTACATTTCTCAATACACATACCATTTCAGAAAAAAAAATCATTTTTTTCTTGCATATTGAATGCTCAGTGTTTTGACTGAAATAAACAGAAATTTCTTTTTATGGCTTTCATACAGACTTTTGAACTGTAATTAATATGGTCATTCTGAACAATTAGAGGTATCCATTATCCCTACTGATCTGTGCTTACTTTTTTCTGCTATTTAAATCTATCAATTTCATGTAACTTTGTGAAACTCATAAACTGAACAAGCCCTCTAAATGGCAGCATTTATTTTAAGGAAAAAATGTATATAGTTTATCTATAAATTAAAGTTTCATTGAATTGCCCCCTTATATATATTTTTATAAAGTATTACAGATATTTCCATTTACTTATTTAATTAAAGATCTCTTGATCGTTTGGCTATGAAAAGCTTTAAACTTATTCTAATGTTACAGCCACGGGTTACTTTCTGATTAGAGCTCTAAGAAAAACCGTCAAGAATGATAAGCAAAAATAAATTAATAAAGTAATTGATAAAGCAATAAATAATGTGTACTTAAAATTAAATAAAATGTAAAGGTACAAAAGTGTCAATGAATCAAATTAAATTAATGAAAAGTGAGTAAAATTAATAATAAATTTTAAAAAAATGCTATTAAATTTGAATGAAATAATAAAACAAATGAAATATGAATGAATTATTTGAAACAAATCATTTGAGAATTAAAGGAAGTTAAGTATTTTGATCAATATTCTTATTTGGAGCTTTAGTGTACTCTGTGTGAAATTAAGACACTCAAAAATTGAGAAGTATAGTTTGACCGCCTCAAGTGCAACCCTGGTTGGCATTCTGCCAAAACACAGACTCGCCCAAAAGGGGCGGTATTACTTGCAGCGACGTGAAAGGGCTTCTCTTCTCCGGAAAGAGGTGTGCTGGAGGGAGAGAAAATCCCCATCCTTCCATCCTATTTTGAGAATAATTCGATCCGATTGGCGCCATGCATGTTTGCGCTGATGCTCGTGGATGAGGTGGTCGAACTCTACTAGAACCAGGCTGTAGCTGAATTTAAACCCTGGTTACAGATATTTTTCATGTCTTAAAACAGATACTAATAACGTTATGAAATTGTGGAATCTAACCTTAGTCAATGCATTTATTTTTGCATTATCAAAGAACTGACCAGGCTAAAAGAAAAGCTTTTGTCAAATCATAAACTATTAACTAGTAAACTGTCTTGCATTATGTAGTTTGAAAATATGTCATGTTTTCATATTTACTGCATACGTCTTTTAAGGTTTATAATTTTAAAGTCATTTTATTTTTGGAGAAAAACAAAAACTTAACATCCATTGATCCTTTTAAAGCACCTTTGTTGCATTTCAGTCATCTTTCAAGTTTTTAGAAAAGATACTTGATTTGATTTTAAGGTTTAATGCATTATGATAGGTATCTATGAAAGAAACGCAGAAATAACCCAACATTAACAAAATGTTTATTGTAGTATTAACCTCAAAGCAGAAAGCTCGCATTTGTCCTACTTATGGGCTGAATGCAATGGCAAACCTCTTTCAGCAGCATGCCAATAAAACAGTTCCATGCAGCTATGTGAAATTTGCTTAATATAGCACTTTGTGGAAAGAAAGGGAAAGTTTCATTTGCCCATATAAAATATTTCATCAACTAATTGGAAAGCATGCACTACCTGTGGAAAGAAAGAAAGAATATACAACATGTAGTTTGTTTAAAATTTTTGATTCTAAATGATTCATTGCAAAGTTATATATTTAAAATAATTAATAAGAATTATACTAAAATTCTTATGATTCAGTTCAGTTATAAAAATGATTCAATTATAAAATGTTAACTTCTTTTTCACAATTTAAAATTTATAGGCATCTGTCACATGCATTGTATGCTCTAAGCTGATTCTCCTGATTGTTATTATGAGCTGAGATACTAAATTTTAGGAATTTTCTTGCACTGAAAAGAAAATAACAAAAGAACTGAGCTCCGTATTATCATCAGTACTGCAGTAAATAAAAACTGAAAGTAGATTTTTCTTAAAATCAAATATCTGATGTATTTTGCACTTGATTTAAAAATTTGCATTGTATCCTGCCATACCTGTTGATTTAGTGTTCATAGTTTTAATTCCAACAAAAAAGTGCTGTTAAAAATTCTTAAATACACAATAAATATAAGGGTCCATAACAGGAAATACAGTAGCTGAGGCATGCCCAGTACCTGTGGTAATCACAACCATGTGTACTTGCATGTTTATTTCGAACCAAGTCAGAGAGTAAAGGTTATCTTGGTGGAACCTTATGCTGTTCTCAGTTGTAGAGGCTGTAGGATCACATGCTTCTTTGCACAAGACCTAATCAAAATTGTAAATATGTTTTTAGTGGGTAGTGGCTATTAGTGGTCAGAGAATATTTAACTCCTCTTTATTTTTGTATTTATATTTACCATTTAATTCACCTCCACTTTATTCTAGCATTTTCCATATTCTTACTGTCATACTAGCCACAATTTTTCATTGCTTTGATGGGAGAAAGTGTGATTTTCATTTCTACTATCACTTGAAATAGTATACTACTTTGATAGTACATGAAGCACATATCTTCATATTTGTCTTGTATTTTGCAGGGTAGGCAAAAGTATCAGAACCCCTGATTTTCATGAGTGTAATAGAAAAGAGTATACTGTTGTTAACAGTATAGTTTGTGATGTATTATAGTATATAGTATAATTTATCATTACTTTATTTAATGTTTGTGATGTCTTATAGTGTGTAATTTATTAATTTGACCATGCTTATGTATGTTACACAAATATCCTGTTTTATACAGGTTTCAACCTTTTTTCATGGTGAGTCTTTGTACATATTACCCATGGATATGGGAAAAGCAGTGCATTTAGTTTTTTTTTTTTTTTTTTTTTTTTTTTTTTTTTTTTACTGAATAAATTTTTCAAAGTTTATCATTTTTGTCACACTAGCAAGGCCTTAAAAATTTGGACTCTTTTAATTGCCTTTTTTTCATGTCATATTTCACATCCAAGAATAAGTTAACATTTTCTTTGTTAAAATCTGCAAAATTTAGATACCTGGTATGTTAATTTTAAAAACACTTTTTAAAAATAATATTTCAATCAGTGACTTCTAAGTAATAAAATTTAATAAAATATAATCTGTATAATCTAAAATCTTTATTTAAATATATGTATTACATTTTATTTTAGTTTATTCTCAGCGCTGGTGTCGATTACGAGGAAATCTGTTGTTTTATTATAAGACAAAAGATCAGGTAAATTTCATTATTTATAATTTCAGTATTATATTTATTCTAAATGAAAGTAAAAATTTAACTGTTAAAATAATCTATGAATTTCTTTTATTTGTTTCAAAATAAGAACTAATGTATGTATTTGAGTGAAAAGAAAAATTTTTTAGAGAGTTCATTAAAATGCTGATCTTTGTGCTTTATTTTAAAATGAGAGTGGAGAGAAATTAGTAGGAACTGAAGGCTACAAGGACTTTGAAATACTGCTGAGCTACTTTTGACATTAAAAATAAAATATTAAATAAATAAATAAAAATCTCATTAAATCGGTTTTTAAAGAGAACTGTTAGTAAACAATACAACGTTCTGAACATAAAAAACTGAAATAACTGTATGCTAAGCTCCATAGCTTGTTTTAATATGAATTGATATTCTCCTAATATATAATGATGTTATGAAAATAGCTCATTATTTGGATTAATTTTAATATTTGTTTGTGTCAAAACCAAATTGTAAAAAAATTGTTTTGCCCAAATTGTATTGCCCAAATACTTTTTTAGAATTCTAGATTTTTGCTAAAAATAGATTATTGTTAACACACAGAATAATGATTATTGGAGGAGTTAAAGCAACAAGATTTGGCGTAATATTCATAAATTTACGGGACTTGTGTCGAAGGTTTTAATACAAAACCGTCTTCTTAGTTGCAGAAGTGCAAAGGATGAAAGACAGGCCAGTGATAAGCTAAGATAAAGCGACGAGAATGGGAAGAACTCAAGCTGCTGGTGCTCTATATTGATGAAAAGTGAAAGCAACTATTCAATAATTTCTTTAAAAGCTGAGGGTAAATACGGAGTGGAACTGGGATCGTTGACTAGAACTGAAACATTTTTATGAATGTGAACTGCCTCTAGAAGATCTAATTCGCCAACAGAAGATTTTTTAAAAATAATCTTTGAGGCTGAAAAATGGAGTTTTCTGACCAACAGTGTTGAGCAACATGCAGTTTTTTTATAACATATAACTCATGTTTTAAGGCTGTCTTAGTTTGACCAATATTAATTAAACTACATTGGCAAGGAATCTTGTATATGCCTCAGGAGTTCATATCTGCAATGTGGTCTTTAAGTATGGAACTCAGTATTTTATAGACAGAAGAGAAAATGACCCCCAAATTCTATTTCTGTAAAATACGTGCAGTTTTATAGCTAATTGATGGAAAGGAAAAAATGACAGTAGAATCTCTTAATACGAGAGGATACTTCATGATGTGTTGAAATAAGAATTTTTTAGCTGCTTGGTCAATAATGTTAAGTGAAATGCCTCTGTCAGTAGCAACTGCTTTTATTTAATTTATAAAGTATTTCTCCTGCCTTCTTTTAGCATGCCTTCATGGTGTAGTGGTCATCATGCTCGATGCATATTCGAGAGGTCTGTGGTTCGAGTCCCGGCGAGGGCATTCCTCATTTTTCATCACTTCTGCTTTAAAAAAAAATAATGTCTCTACATTGGCGCCCGAACTAAAAGAATGGTGAATGATGATTCTCCACCATCAAGATTTGGCGATTGGGTCCCCTAATCCCCAGTCGCCCTTTAAAAGGGGCAGTATATAAGGTATTTCTCCCGTCTTCTTAGCATGCCTTTGTGATGTAGTGGTCTGCATGCTTGACCCTTTATTCAAGAGGTCCATGGTTCAAGTTCTGGCGAGGGTATTGCTCATTTTTCACTTCTCTCAGTATAAAAATCCTAATGTCTGTACAAATTTAGTCATTGATCAAGAGCTGATTTGAGGAGCAAACTTGAAGTACACAAGAGGTGAAAGAACAAAATGAAGCTAACCTCTCTTTAGTTGAATAACATGATTTGAAGTGTGGTGGAAAGCAAACAGGAACTTGAATATGTTTGACCAAGATGTCGAAATGAAAGAGAATTGGATGTCTCAAGTTCAGAAGTGAACTGAACGGCAGAATCAGTGGAATTCATTGTTGATAGAACTTTATTTAACCCACAGATCTCTCTTTAGAAAGCAGATTGATTATCAAATTTCAGTTCATTAGAGAGTTTTATCACAAGATTTCTTAAGAAAGAATTTATTTAAATTTTTTTATTATGCAGTGAAGTGTGTTCGAAAAAAGACTCCATTGACTTATTTTTAGAAAGATTAACTCTAGGTGTAATATGCATCTAGTTAAAAAAAATTTCTGTAATTTTATGAAAACAATTTTTTTACAATGTGTGGGATGGGCTATGTAAGCATAAAAATATAATTTTTCATATAGCCCCGTCATGCAAAATTTCGTTTAATAAAATGTTCATTACACTTTAATTAGCCAAAGTTCCATATCTTTATGTGCGAAGTTAGGATATTATGACTTACTTGGTAGATCAAGGTTTTGAAGAGACTCCTTTTTTTAACCATTTCTAGCCAAATATAACAATTATGTGAAATCAGTTATATTTCAAGACTGGAATACCAACCTGGTGGACATCCAGGTGTTTCTCATAAATATCATAAATATTTCCTTCCCTTTCCATAATGGGTTCTTCATCAGGTATGACATTATGCCAAAATAATATTTTGGAGTTTCTCATTTTAAACTAATTTCTACTTAGGTGTATTCGTGGGCAAAATGAAGAGAATTTGCACAGTATATGGAATTTTCAAAAAATAATGATAAACTTTAATGAAATTTGGTTAGAATAGACATTGATAACAGAGAAAGAGATGTACTATTCAAAATAATTTTATGCATGCTGAGATTATCAGTAAAGCTCATAGCGCAAAGATGCCTAAAATCCGCATTGTGATATCGAACTGAAAATTAGTCTAATATGGGGTATGACCCCTCTCATAGCCAGACAGTTCGTGCATCGCGACAGCATATTGGACAGGAGTCAGTTGAGGAGTTCTTGTGGCAGTCGATCTCACACCTGCAGCAAGCCAGTTTTCAGCTCCGGGATGGTGAGGGGAAATTGCCCACCTAAGTGCATCCCCAATATTCTGTGTACGGTTAATATCAGGAGATCTGGCTGGCCAATCCATGCAGCGAATATCCTCACCTTCCAAGTAAATGTCGACCAGCTCAGCTCTATGTGGACAAGCGCTGTCATTCATTAACAGGAATCCAGGACCAACTGCACCCCTGAAAAGTCGAACATAGGGCTCTAAGTTCTCTCTATACCTCATAGCAATCAGTGAGGTTTTGTCAAACACATGCTGGGGTCTGCGGTTAACCAACATAATACTTGCCCAAACCATTATACTTTCCCACTGTAATAATCCTTTTTCCCTATTGAGGGAAAGATGATATCGTGTTCCAGGCTCTCTTCAGATACAGATATTTCGAGAATCAGCGTCCAGGCTGAATCTCAATTTATCTGTAATACACACAGTGCCACTCTGAAGTCTTGTCCTAGGCACATGTCATCTGCACCATGCTGAATGCGATCTCTTGTGTACTGTAGTGAGCAGAATGCTAATAGCAGATCTTCAGGTATACAGCCTTATCTCTGAAAGGTTTTTGGGTTAACAGGTATACAGCCCTTTTAACTATTATCTGAGTGTTGAGGAAGCTAGTGAAGCAAATAATTGCTTGAGTTAAATAATAGAAATATAAACTCAAGAAGGGTTAATTATCCTTTATTGCTGACAATAAAGATATACAGTCAACCCCTTTCTCAGGGCGTTCAGCATAGCCTCCACTTCCGCTTGAATTGAAAAGTGCAAGAAAAAAAAAAAAAAAAAAAAAAAAAAAAAACTAATTAAAGAGATTTAGCTGAAGCTAACACAAATCTAAACTAGTTGGCTCCTAAATATCGAATTATTTAGCAAAGCCATTAAAGGTGTGTAATACGGCCAAGCGTAGTAATGGCTAAAGCCCCGTTTACAAGAGCAGATTCGAGCGTTAGCTAAAACTGGTGCTTCCAATGTGTCCCATTCACATGGTGAACAAGCATTAACAGCTTAGAGAGAGTAGCCAAAAGGTGAACGAATGCTATTCAGAAATCCTGATTCTCTCTCCCGAAGTCAGTGGAACTTCGACTTAAATACTACTACTTCTCATTTGCATTAAACGCTATTCTAAAAACTCATTCTAAGAAATTGTAAGCTGAAGCTAGGAGAGATAGGAAAAGTACATAAACTTAAAAATAACTGTTATAAACTTAGAATAAACTGGGCAAGCTTTTGGACAATTGTAGACTCTGAAACTTGGGTTCCAGTGGCAGCATACAGCTCACATGAGAGCTGTGCAGCTGTAGCAGTCCTGCATCGCAATGCTGAAAGTTCCAAATAATGATCCTCATTCGTCATTGTGGAGTTTGTTTGACCTCGTCCAAATCATTTCGCTGTGGATCCACTGTTCTCAAACTGTTTCCACAAATTGCAGGTGACACTAGGCGTTATATTAAGATTTCTAGCCTCCTGTGATTGGTCTGCCTCCAATATACCGGCAATTTTCCTGCTCATTCCTGTTACAATAACCAAAATGTAATGATAGAATAGTTTCACGGCATCAAATGTAAACCACAATAACCCATAATACTTGAAAATGTACAGATGGAAATAATGTGTGATCTAAAAGAGAAATATGAAATCAAAATAACTTACCCCAAAGGATGACAATTCAAATAACACAAATCAATTAATATTTATTATATCCTTGACATCATTAAATTTTGAATAAGTATTAGCATAAATTAAGCAGTTATTGACCAGACAGACAAATATCAGTCCTACAATTTTGAATCGGAACATCTCGCACGAGTTATGCGTTATACTCAAATCAAAGTAGATCTCACTCCATCAACGTGAAACAAAGTCTCGGTGAGAAACAACAGTCAAAATTTAATAGCAGAAATTGAGTTAGCTCACTTTATCAATATATTTTTTAAAGAAGAACAAGGCCAGTTCTTAAATCATCAGGAAAGATTAAAGCACGTGCGTACGAAGACTTCTCAAATTTTTTATGTTGTAGAACATCATTAATTTTCTGCAGGTGATAGGTATATTGATCTGTTTAGTTGAATCTTGA